TAAAGCGTCTAAATGTACACTAGAATGTGGGATATTCCATTCAAAAACATTGCCAGATTTTGTCACTGTTCTCTGTATTATCTCATGTTTAATTACACATCCGTATCTAGCGTTTTGATGATGAGTTGTTGAGAATGAGGTATCATCCCTTTCCATTTGATGAACTGGTCCAAGATGTAAGTTGCTGTAATTTTGACTCTAAAATATAGTATTTATGCGAAAATTTCGTCACCTCGAATTTCAGCTTGTCAACTTCACCCGTTCCTTGTACATATATTTAAGCCGGAAGCCTCTACTCTCACCCGTATTACTTATAGAAAAAAAAACAATATTACAGAATAGTGAGAGGAAGCGGCAGAAAAGTTTGTTAAACTGATGAAGAACTTCCAAGTTTAGCCATAAGGATCGTAATAAAATATAAGTTGATTAATCCGCGGTGTCTTAGTAACAAGGTTACATCTAAAAAAATAGCTATGATTAATTTTGAAGAGTAAATAGCTTCATGATGCTTATGGTGGTTGAAGCAATTATCTGTATTACCGACCACGTAGACTGTGAACTACAAAGTACCATGCACAAAACGTATGAAGTTTGACCACCAATCGTACATCTTTTGCTGCACAAATGTCAGGAAATAAGGAAACCTTGAACTGAAGAAGCATTCAAGGCCATAGGACTTTCTAATGCGATGTCAGTGAGCCAACGGTAACACCCTCCAGCAACCACAGTTCTTAAGTATCTGCAATGTTATCGTAAGACCAATAAAATGGTTACTGGGGTTCCATTGGCAGCTCAATGACGGCCATTTCCAGTGAGCTGGAAGGCCCTGTAAGGCGAGAAATATCTGATAACTCTGATTTTACTCGCTTGCCTCAAAGGATCACGACAAACAAGTCGTCCTCACAATAAGGATGCCTTATGTGAATCCATGTCTTTGAATTTGGAAAATAAGGGCCTCAAGGCTTGAGATAACTAACGGAACCGCTCTTGATTTTTCCCGTTTATTTTTAAAAAGAGCCAATGACAGTAGGGTGTATTACGTAATATATATATATATATATATAATGTAAAAAAATCTGTAGAATATCACTGGGTAACCGCCACTGTTCCGCTAGTTCATTCCGCGCCTGCTACAAGTGAGCATCAAGCTAATTCAAAGGTGATATTTTGTAGGAAAACCTACATGATTGCAAAATCCCATACAAAATCAATGTCACTTCTTAAGTTACGCAATACAAATGCAGTTATATACTAACTTTTAACAATGGTAATCTTATATTTGATCTTGTATACTACTTCAAAGTCAACTTTTGCGTTTTTGATGGTAAGTTCCCTTTTTGGGGAAAATCCTACCTCTATCTCTTAGGGTCAAATTAATGTCAAATGTTGAGGTGAGGTAAAATTGCTAGAAGGGTAGCAGAAGAAATTCTTTCTTAGTACTTTTTAACATAGAATTCAATGATGACCTTGTAGTCGCCTTGAAGCAGGCCTTCAGAATTATTTAAAGATCAACATTTTTTAAGCAGGGGATCATCTTATTTGACATCGACAATATAAAATTTCACGTTCTAATGCATTGTGATGTAGTACTGTGACCCTGAAGTTAAAGGCTCAAGGTCAAATCCAAGGTCAATATGACAATCCTTGTTCAAAATTACTGAATATTTGACCTTGACTTCACTTATCGGTAATACTGAATTGTAGGAATCCTCCTTAAACTCACATATTTGGCCTTGATTTGCCACTCGATGTGACCTTGAAATAATTTTAAAGAAAAATTCATATGAAAAGATACAGGTAGTTTGCATTGTTTTTGTTCCACCTTGTATATGCTGGGAGTGAATATATATAATTATGACTCAAAACATAATAGATTTATATCTGGTTGTTCATTCATTTCATAAAGCTCATATTGCAGTACTTCTACTAACGAATTGATTAACATATTGTTTATTGCATTGCATTAACAGGCAAATTGGTTGCACAAACCGTAATACAAATTTCATTATCCGCTTCGACTTGCACGCGTTGCGTTTCAGGGTGGATTTTTCTATAGAAATTGTATTTACCGAATACGACCAAAGGGATTTGTTTAATAAACACTGCAGTTGAGTAAATAGAATTTAACTATTGTTTAGAGGATAAATGTCTCTCTTTATATCAACGCATATTAATCGAAAGCTTAACATAATACTGAGCGACTCAAATAATTACTGGATATTACAATAGCTCCAATTAGCGATGCACGTGGTCTGGCTAAAGAGATTTAACATAAAGCTATGGCTATACTACTGCAATCTACTAATATACTGGTTAAGAACGCATCAGGGACCATAAGCGAATTTTTCTGCCCTGAAAATAAATCAAATTTGAACTTGAACCTATTTGAATATTTCATAACATACGTATGCATTTTAAACCTACACTAACATTCTTCCTCTTATTTTATTAATTGATGTCACATACTTATTTAGTATAACTCCTGAAACTTATCCTGCGGGTTTCATGTCCATTGTCTAGTTCGTCAACCGTGTTCACCTCAGTCTTATATACTAAGTGACATATAAATCCGAACACCCAGTTTAAATGGTTTTATTTTAATAAAATTTTGTATAAGTACTTAATGAAGCATAATAAGTAAATGATAAAAATTTCAAAATGATTGCACTGCTTTAAAGCCCTTTGACCTTTAATAATGTGTGGATGCACCCTGATATGCTACGCATTCTCCAACGCGCTTAGGCATGCTTCTGATCAGGTGGTCAATGTCCTCCTGTGGTATATCATTCCAGGCAACCACCAACTCCTCTCGCAGTACTTCTAGAGTCTGAGGAGGACGTTGCAAATTGAGCAATCTCCTACCCATCATATCCCATACGTGCTCAATTGGGGATAAGTCGGGAGATCTTGGTGGCCATGGTAACAATGTGACATCATTACGTTGAAAGAAGTCTATTGTGACTCTTGCAACATGTGGTCGGGCATTATCTTGTTGGAAAGTTGGATCTGCCAGGGTGTCAAGATAGGGTAAAAGATGAAGATTATAGGTGACCTGGAACCATAAGCTATAGCACCCCAAACCATAACTCCAACAGTGTGATGAACATGTCTTTCAACAAAAAACTGTGGATTCCTCCTTTCACCACGTCGCCTTCTAACCCTGGCACGACCATCGTGCATGCCTGAACAAAATCGAGACTCGTCACTAAAGACAATACTGTTCCATTCCTGATCGTCGGTGTTGTCGAGTTAAAGTGTGGCCGGTATGAAAACAATCCAAAACTTCTCATTCGTCGGTAAACACTTCACATGCCAATAGGTCTTCCGTGTTCTGCAAACCATTCATTTGCAATGGACCTGGTAGTGGAGAAACGGTCCCTTAAGGCCAATAACCTTAGGCGGCGATCTTCACGGTCTGTTGTTCTACGGCGGCGTCCGGTGCCCCTTGCTCTTTGCGTACAGCCTTCTCGAAGCCATACCTGACAACACCTAACCACAGTGTCTACACTTCTTTGCACTCTAACTGCAATTGCCCGAACAGAAAGTCCAGCTTCCCGAAGTCCCACTATACGGCCCCTATCAAACTCACTAAGTTGACGAAATCGTACAGGACTCCGTACTCTAGGCATCGTAACCGATCGTAAAGGATGTCAAGAAACAAAGTCCGCCAACGTTGATTCTTTACTGCGGCTGAAATATTCATTTTTAGAGCGTTAGTGAATTAAAAAAAGCAGTATAAAAACCGGAATGTCCAACTGATAAGGCTGAACATTTTTTCACTTGTTATTTACAGTAAGATAAATACATTCACCAACTTTTATTAAAATAAAACCATTTAAACTGGGTGTTCGGATTTATATGTCACTTATACTATAAGCCTTTCATTTCGCCTCAATCTAGGAAATAAATCGTGAGTGATCCTTAAAAACGATCTGCATGTACTCGCGAAGCCTCGTTAGCATTTCGAAGCCACTCATGGTAAATTAAAATAATATGGACAGCTCCGATATTATTGTAAGGGTTTGCCATATCTTTAGAACTGATTTGTAAAAGTTCTGTTTACAAACGCGGCTAGAATTAGGTTTTGTTTATTTTTCGGACACAAACATTCCGATAATCTTGAGACTTTGGTGTATATTTTACTAGAAAAAAAATGCTTATTTTTTCAGGATATTTATTTATTGCACGACGTTTTGATCCCCACTGTATGTGTTGTGTCCCCCAGGTGACATTTCTTTACTTTTCTCATTTTTCTATTTCCTATACAATGCGTTACTGCGCATTGAAGACAGAAAATAAAATTATTATCACAGAAGTCAATTGTACTTGAGAGAGACCACAGAGGTGGTGAGAACGTCGTACACTAAACAGAAATCTAAATATGTAGTTTTGATTCGGCGAGTCAATAGATATGCGTATAGATTTGTTTCAAGTTTTGTTTTTGTTGTGAGAGCAGTAACGCAATACTTTCATTTTCATATATACCTTGTTTCTCAATGTCTGTATGTGTGTTTAGATATAAATAGTTAATAATGGATTAACTATCCCTAAATGGGTGCATTTTTGACAAAAAACCACAAATAGTAATAATAACTTTGAGCTTTCAAAAATAGATATTCGGAACTAGTTGCGTGCATAGAAATCGGCCCACTGCCTTTGACTATTTTTTTTTTCAAATTATTCGTCCGATCAAAAAAAGAAATACGCTTTAATGTGAGTATAAATGTATGAACACTTATTACGGCTCAAGCGAATTAAGCTTTTTATTATTAACATAAATAGGGTTATTGACAACTTCGAACTTGACACTTAATTTTTTAATAATCGGTATGATCTCCTCTTGCCCTAATAACATTTCTCATACGATTAGGCATAGATCTGATCGTGTTTGCTATTGTTTCTCGTGGGATGTTAAGCCAATCTTCTTCTACTGCAATAATAAGCTCTGGGATCGAGTTTGAGGTATGAAGTCTAGCTCGAATTCTTCGTTTTAGCTCATATCATAAATTTTCGATCGGGTTTAGGTCAGAACTGTATGCTGGCCACTGCTTAACCCGAAAACAGACTTCCACAATGTAATCTTGCACGATTCTTGCCGTGTGCGACGTTGCCTTGTCATGCATAAAGGTAAATTCGTCTCCAATGTAGTCGTCGTAAGGTACCACATGAATTGCTAACATCTCCTCGATATATCTAGCAGCCGTCAAGCCTCTTCTTCCGTGAAAACGGTCGTCCCTACGAATGAACTCAGGGTCAGTTTGTGCTCCTATAGAATTTGCACCCCAGATCGTACAGGAAACACCACCATAAGCACTCCGCTCTTCAAAGCAGCAATCTGCAAATCGCTCTCTTGGTCTTCGGTACACTTTCCTTCTTCGGTCGCTACCATGGATGCATATTCTGGTCTCATCTGAGAACAGAACAGATCCCCTTGTTCCAACGTCCAATTCAGATGACCGGTTGTTGCGCATATAAACGATTAGCCTTTTTGATAAATTTATAGTCACATTAGAGCATATTAAATTGTCTTTCAAACAGCATATTTCTTTTTCTGATCTGTAGAATAATTTTTTTTAAATACTGTTAAAGTCAAAAGCTTACCGTGCATCGATTTCTATGCACGCAAGTAGTTAAGTAGTTAAGCAGTTAACTTCTAAAATTCCATGGATGCGGTAGACTTGAAATTATTCAGGACCAAAACATCCGTTTATGAATCCGAACTATTCAGAACTCTGAAACAAACGTCGGAGCCTAAAATGCACAAGCAACTGCTACACGCAACATGTGCCGCAATATGTAGCGTTACTTGCAGTATCTATCAGGGCTTGACGCTGTTTTACAGCAAATTTAATGTGTCGGGCAATATATAGAGCACAAGTGGCGAGCTAGTTGCGTATACCTTTGAACACGCGAATATGTGCCTGTAACTTCTCAGATTGAAGACGAACGTATGTTGACAGACTCTCTTTGTGTTGTTTATTAACTCTCTAGATTTGTGATAACTTTACCTGACATGGGAAACAGTGGTAGAAAATTTTTATTTTGAAGTATTTCAAAGGATTTTCTCATGTACGACCTAAAATACGCTATTATCAAGCATCCATGACAATGGAATAACGCCGTAGCCTTGAAGAAAACATGTGATTTCCATTCATGCGTTTTTCTGTGAATGGAAAGTATGTAATTTATTTTTCCCCCTTTGCAACACATAAAATGAAGCTTTAACTTTTTCGTTCATAGCTATTTTGCTCCGTTTAAAAAAGCGGTAAAAGCCTATAAAATGCAATCGCTGTATGCATGCTGAACACGGATTGTTAAAAGGCGGACGCGACGAGTGTAAGCGCATTACACAATGTATATAATGTAAACACACTTGTGCACGATATTTTGCTGATTTACGCAGATATTCAACTGATTTATACACGGCTTTTTTATTTCAATTGGCTATTTCGCGTACGGTTCGGCCATTTCCAGTGGAACGTTTACTGTAACTTTTTAGGGATACCGCACGAGCAATCGGTGATCCATCGATAAAATTATAGCACTGTTCGTTATATATACTAAGTGACATATAAATCCGAACACCCAGTTTAAATGGTTTTATTTTAATAAAAGTTGGTCAATGTATTTATCTTACTGTAAATAACAAGTGAAAAATTTTCAGCCTTATCAGTTGGACATTCCGGTTTTTATACTGCTTTTTTTTAATTCACTAACGCTCTAAAAATGAATATTTCAGCCGCAGTAAAGAATCAACATTGGCGGATTTTGGTTCTTGACATCCTTTACGATCGGTTACGATGCCTAGAGTACGGAGACCTGTACGATTTCCTCAAATTAGTGAGTTTGATAGGGACCGTATAGTGGGACTTCGGGAAGCTGGACTTTCTTTTCGGGCAATTGCAGTTAGAGTGCAAAGAAGTGTAGACACTGTGGTTAGGTGTTGTCAGGCATGGCTTCGAGAAGGCCGTACGCAAAGAGCAAGGAGCACTGGACGCCGCCGTAGAACAACAGACCGTGAAGATCGCCGCCTAAGATTATTGGCCTTAAGGGACCGTTTCTCCACTACCAGGTCCATTGCAAATGAATGGTTTGCAGAACACGGAAGACCTATTAGCATGCGAAGTGTCTACCGATGAATGAAAAGTTTTGGCTTGTTTTCATACCGGCCACACTGGGTCCTCCCTTTAACTCGAGAACACCGACGTAATCGCCTAGAGTGGTGAAGACAACGGTCACTCTGAGATCAGGAATGGAACAGTATTGTCTTTAGTGACGAGTCTAGATTTTGTTTAGGCATGCACGATGGTCGTGCCAGGGTTAGAAGGCAACGTGGTGAAAGGAGGAATCCACAGTTTTTTGTTGAAAGACATGTTCATCACACTGTTGGAGTTATGGTTTGGGGTGCTATAGCTTATGGTTCCAGGTCACCTTTAATCTTCATCAGAGGTAACATGAACGCGCAGCGTTATATCCACGAAGTTCTAGAACCCCATCTTTTACCCTATCTTGACACCCTGGCAGATCCAACTTTCCAACAAGATAATGCCCGACTACATGTTGCAAGAGTCACAATAGACTTCTTTCAACATAATGATGTAACATTGTTACCATGGCCACCAAGATCTCCCGACTTATGCCCAATTGAGCACGTGTGGGATATGATGGGTAGGAGATTGCTCAATTTGCAACGTCCTCCTCAGACTCTAGAAGCACTTCGAGAGGAGTTGATGGTTGCCTGGAATGAGATACCACAGGAGGAGCATGCCTAGGCGCGTTGGAGAATGCGTAGCACATCAGGGTGCATCCACACATTATTAAAGGTCAAAGGGCTTTAAAGCAGTGCAATCATTTTGAAATTTTTATCATTTACTTATTATGCTTCATTAAGTACTTATACAAAATTTTATTAAAATAAAACCATTTAAACTGGGTGTTCGGATTTATATGTCACTTAGTATATTTAGCTTTGAGGATGCTTTATTAAGGGACTAGCAAACACTTAAATGAACATCACTTATTTGAGTCATGATATAAGGGACATAATGCTAGGATAATACTATCGGTGTCAGTGTATATAAAACTTCACTGACAGAGAAATACGTTAAACTAGAATTTAGTGATACCGGCCACCATGAGGATCCAGGGCATAGGTCACTTAGACGGGCCTATATGCACCCTTGCATTTCCTAAACCTCAAGCTTCGCCCTTCTAGCAAAGTTGAGTATTGCCTTAAGCCCCAGCTCCTCAACGTTCTGGGGTCTAAAGTCTGCCTGTAGTAGCTTCACAGCGACATGCGCCGAGATCCTCTACCCCTCAGTGCTCACCCAAGGTATCGTCAGCCATCCCATCACGAGCAGGTGGCATCTTAGCTTGTTTTGGCCATACAACATTTTCACCAGCAACCTTAGGTTGGCTCTATCCAAGAATAAGCAAAAGCGTTACGATGAGTTTTTGTGCCTGGCGGAGATGTCTGGAGATGTTTCTCTATTTCTGAGTGCTGCTCTGTAATCTACTTCTCCATTTTCTTTCTATCTCTTTGCGTGGGCTCTGAGGCTGGCTCATGACCAACGAGCTTGCTAGTTGATCTAAGGATATCTAAGGGATAAGTCCCTTATCATTGTCCTTTATCCTGGTATCTACACCAATGATACGGAATGCCTCGCTGATAGACACTCCGGAGCCTCCCTGCATTGCAATACTAAGCTCAGAGTAATCTTACAGGCACTTAGTGCCTTCATTGCAGCCTGACTCTCAGAGAAGATTTTTATTCTTCTCTTATTCCCTTCCCCTCCGAAATGCGGGCTACGCAAGAGAGAATCGCAAAGATTTCTGCCTGGAAAATAGTGGTGTATCCACCGAGAGGCAGAGATAGCCTAGTTCTAGTCCGAAAGACTCTGACGCCAGAGCCGTAGGGAAAGCATTTACTGTAATGAGTTACATTGAACTTGAGAAAAAATGCTGCAATGCGTGCAAGTCTGGTCGCGCTATGAACTTCTGGTCTCACCTATCATATTTTAAACAGTGGATTAGTCAACAAGGGTTATTATGTATTAACGTGGCGTGCGTAGGTACTCAAAATAGGATCAGGTCCTGGACTAGAGCTAGACTGGAGAACGGTACTGCACTCTAAGACCAGATCTTATCTTGTGTTTAGAGGCGCTGTCACCTTGAAAGACGTTTAGTATTTTATATTTTCTTCTAGAAGGCCATCGTGAAGGCCTCCAACGCAGAGCAATCCACGATTCTGTCACCGTGTGGACATATTCTTAGTTTTTTGTTATAAGTTTCTTGTTCCACCACTGCCTCTCACGCATCCCCATTCAAAACTAAAATTATAGTTGAAGCGTTTGCAGCGTGACATCCAAAATCAATACCATGAACCGCGTTCTCCTGTTGAATTCTAATGATCCAGTCCGACGACTTTTTCTAATATGGGGCCTACATAAATATCAGGAGAAGGCACAATATACGGCCTCTCATGTTTCCCCCGTCCCGAAAAGTGTTTTCTGAATCACTTATATCTGTCTCAATATATCGCCTTTTCGTTCGCAAAACTTTAGCAAAGCGAATACGTGAACACTCTGTTTTGTTCAGACGAGGCACAAAACCCAGTCCCTACGCCCTTCAGTGAAGGTAAGGACGTTCTCAAGGGAAAGGGGTGGCTTCAGTAAAATTGGCTACAAATCAGCTACAAGGCAGCTACAAATCTGGAGGAGTGCAGATGGTGGTTTTCCTCAATGCCTTTCGACGCTGAAGAGGTTAAAATCCCATAAAAATGGAGGAAGTAGCACTCAAACAACAACCAAAACAACTAAACGAAAGGTAGATACAAAAAGGGTGCTACCTCATAAACTGGTGATTGGGGCTTAATCTGGAACTCACACGAGGGAACCATACACCCTAGCCTACGCTTAACAAATTATGAAATTTGTCAAATAATATCGTTAAAAATGGCTTGGCCTTGGAATCAGTACTTTATCGCTAATAAAGAGAAATTCATATTAGTGGTAAGTGATTAAAATGGTAACAAAAAGGTTCAGTGATTTTGGCACGTTACATCCTACGCCCGGACGCACCTTACTGGTAATAAACAGATTATCTCTTTTCGTTCCTATAAAGATATTACCACAAAATATTTAAATCAGAAGCTACACTTAGGCAATTTCCCTAGTTCAATTTTCAGACGTCGCCAGATAAGCGATTGTCTACGAAAATCACGCGCATCGTCGTTTACATCATGAAGCGGCAGTAAAGTGTCACTTTCTCTATACAGACTCTGTTATTTCCAACAATAAATGTTCGATAGTCCCAGGGAGTAATTTATAGTAGACCAGATCAAAGCTACATGCAGCAAAGCAATGTCATATCAATGATGTGTATGGATGACTCTATTTGATGGTATCTGATAGTCATAACTTGCTTGTTGGTATTAAGCGAACAATTTAGTAAAATGATCGACTCGTTATCG